CTGACAATATATCTCTGCTTTATGCCTTTTTTTAATCTAATGGTTGCAAATTGCAGCCACTAATAATTTTTTATTCCCCCCACATTTTTTAGATAATTACCCTGTCAAACGCCGGACATTGTTTACTTACGAGACGAGATGGAAAATAGAGTGGACAATGCATCAAATCTGGTCACCCTAGGTGCAGTGCAAATGATGTCTGCTAGTTTAATCTGGGACTATTCTGACAAATGTGTAGCAACGTGTCAAAATATGTTCTGTTCAACATTATTTAGCCTACTGATTGCCTAATGCTGCCTTCACGCCGAAAGCGATTTCAGCTTCAAAATCGCAGCCAACGCTGAAGTTGGTCGCTTGTGCACTTTGAGGTCAGACGCAGGTCAGCTCTTGAAGCGCTTCACGGCAACAGCCTCCCCGACCCTCCCTCCTCTGTCGGGCGAGGAAGTGTTTGCTTTATTTACAGAGAGCAAGAGCATGTCACGTTCATCAGATAATTAATTCATAATTAATTCACCAGATAATTCAGAGTAGAGGCTCACAGCTCGCTTTCAGGACTATTTTTCCAGTCTGATGAGCCGCTGCCACGCATTGGTGCGGATATCTCTGTCAGGACARCGACTGCAGGCACTCGATTTCAGCTAAAGAGCTCCTCTCCATCTGTTTCAGGTTAGTGGACATCATTCAGTAAACTGTCCCGTTGGGAAATATGTCGCTACGTCACACAGTGGAGTCTCTCTGATTGGTTGACGCGGCGCGTCGAGCTGTAAAAGTTCAGATTTTCTAACTTCAGTGATTTGCGCCTCAGCGCGTTGAACGCTCAGATCGTTCAAATCATTCAAATCGCGCTGCTCTAATCGCGCTTGAGGCYCCGCAGCCCTTCCCGACGCTGATTGAAGTGCGTCCACCATAGACTTTGCATGTAAACCTGAGGCTCCTGATGCTGAAATCGCGTTCGGTGTGAACGCACCATAACTTTAGTTATGCTAGCATTTGCTAACATCCATGGGATAAAAACAAATGGCATTCCGATGCAGGCTGTGAAGAACGATGCCGTCCATCAGAGTAGTCACTGTCTGACTCAGTCTGACAGAGTCTGAGTCTGGCTCTGGCAGTTCAAATGAGTAGGGCTGGAGAACTCCAATTAGGCTGCTAGCCTTCGCAAACATCTTCTCCTCAGCACAGGACACAGACACAGTAACCACACTCAGCGCGTGGGCGTGGTTTCAGCACCTCAGCTGACACGCCCCCAGCGTTTCAGAACAGAGCAAAATGATGTTTTTTCATTACTTTTGAGACTTAATTTTATAAAGTAAACAATGTTTTTAATCAGTCAGATTTAGATGGGTGATTAATAACACATATTTCTGTTATGTGACAAACTCAAAACACACATTTAATTTTACTGTACATGATCTTTAAAATAAGGAAGTATTCAGACCAAAGCATTACAATTCTGCTTTATATACTGTATACCCAAATTGAATGATTTAAATATGTATAAGTAGGATTTAAAAACATATGGATTCAATCATGAGATATTTTGTCAATGGTACAGAAAAACACAACACACACACAAAAGGGCAGTCATTATAACTCTGCTTTAGCCTTTATCAGTAGTTTATGTAAGAATCACTCTGTTTTAAGGATTCAGCTACACTTATTAAAACAAAAGTAATAAGGAATTATCACAGGATCTTCTATTTAAGGAATAAATCACCCCTCTCGGCAACAGTGAGACCATACAATAAGTGAATGTGACTCAGTGACTTTGATTTGATCTAATAATAAACGAGATCATTTATTTACAGAATCAAAATAAATCACTAATGTACAGCTTATTGTGGAAAATCTAATTTCCAATAAAGAGTGGAAATCAACAACGATTTAACATGCATCCGCACCAATTAATCGTCAATATGACAACTTTTAAACAGCAAAACTTCAGGCTTAGATGTTAAATCAAGCAGAACATTTGCAGACACAAAAACTTAGATTTTGGCAGGACATAAGGTTTAGGATAAGGAAAGGAGGAAGAGTAGGAGGATAAGTCAGTTCTTAACTTTATCTTTAAAGAATGTGGATTTTGACCAGAGGGTAAGCGTCTCTCAATGAAGTCAGCCGGAGACTGCTGGAGTTGGTGAAGAATCTTTTGGACCCTCGTCCAGTTGGACCCTTCCAGGGGCGTTACTTTCAGTGTCTTCTGGCCCTGCTTCAATTCGGAGATCAGAGGCGAGGCTCTTCTCTCCTCAGTAGCTGTGCATTAGTTGTTTGTTTTTTTTTTTTCTTTTGTTTTCATTTTCGAACAGATTTTTTTTTTAATCAGTCTTTCCCATTTTCGTTTTTTAATAAAACAATTTTCTGTACTTGAAAACCGTCCTGCTTTTTGCAAAACCATACCTGTGTGTCTTGACTTTTGATTTTCTGGGTGAAAGTTATTGGTTGTTAATGACAACCACACTTTAATGTTGTGCAGAAAATCACCACTTGCCACATTAGCAAATCTTGTGACTTTTATCATTCTATCTGCAGATGAACAGCATGGCATGAAAACCTAGGTCATTAAAGGATGTCAGGAATTACTGGCTTAAACCTACAAGTATTAGTTCCACCACAACCCCCCTCCTCTTGATTAGTCACTAATCAATTAAATGAGCAATAAAACAAAAAAAATAAATCTATAATATATTTAAAAACATATATTTCAACACAAACCTAAGTATATGTACTTTTCTAAAATCCCAACCCCAGTAATTCAATTTTTATTCCTCCCACAGTCATTACTAACCCCAAAACATACAGTAGTTATCACACAAGTCTTTGGKTCATCTTGAACACAAACAAGCTTGTCTGTCTCCATATYTGGAAGGGTCAGAGGTAGTGGTAGGGCTCTGTGAATCTTTGTAGATCTTGGTTTAGTGCGAGGGGCTGGAAATGGAGGGTTACGTTGATTTGGACATGGTGTTTGATCTTAATCTCGCCAGGTTCTTTCATGTTAGTAAAATCCAGGAGGGGGCATTCCACTTGCTGTCCTGTTGGGGTCTCAGAGTCCAAGAGATCCTCTGTTTGTGAGGCTGGTTCTGCAGCTTGAAGTAACTCCTCTCTCTCTGGTTCTGATCCTGCAGCAGTCTTATCAGTAACTGGCACACTGTGTTCCATCGATATCTCAGTTTTCTCCAGATGTCCTTCAGACGTCAGCTGTTGTGGTTTGTCCTGTTCGTTTCCAGCTGGAACTTGGTTCAGGAAATATTTCATGTTTGAAGCCAGAAGTTGTGCTCCAGTTTGATTCTGTCATTCCATCAGACCTGAAGAGATGTTTTCTCTCCCAGAAGAGGTCAAAGTTATCCACAAAACTCAGAGTGGTCAACACAGGACTTTTCCAAAAAGCCATTAAGGACAAACAGTCTGCTGAACCTCTCAGCTCCTCCTCGGGCTGCAGGAATGGGCCCACTGAGGAACACATCCATGTTGAGATTTTTAACTGCATTCAGCAGCTGAATAAAATCCTTCTTCAGGATTTCTGACTGTCGGTTCATCACTTCATCACTTCCTGTATGAATGATGAGTGTCTTCACAGTTGGATACTCAGCTGCGATTTCCAGAATCTTCTCTGCGAGGTCAGAAACTTTATCAGCAAAACTCAGAACTTTGACTTTTTTCTTGTTCCAGAAGCCTCTGAMCTCATTCACCATTTTATCTGTGATGATCAGCATTTCTTGACTCTTGAAAGTCACTTTTTGGACTTGCTTTGGCTTTGAGTTGGATCTGGATCTGGTCTCAGGTCCCTCTCTGAGATCAGAAGATGAACTTTGTTCAGACTCAGTTTCTTTCAGTGGTGGCCGTTATCAGCTTTTTTGATTACAACCTGTTGCTTTCTCCTTGCTGGAGGAGAAAAAGCATTTCTCTGTAATTCTGGCCATTCGATGTCATCTAAGAGCTGAATCCTTCCTGAGAGATTTTTRGMTCMGGCACAAASAGAGTTCCACACAGCTTTACCTCAGAAGCAGCTTCCATCTCCTCTCCATGTTGATCTCTCATCTCAGCCTTCTCACCCGTTTTAACACATGTTGAGTTCTCCAAAGCATTCATCTCTTCCAACCGATGAATCTTGAGCTCCAACACCGTCACTTTTTGGAGAAGCTGGCCGAAATCCTCTTTTGAAAAGTAAGGAGGCATCTTGAAGCTGTTCTGCACTCACTCTCAGCCGATGATGTTTCAAAAATCTTCTCAGGTTCTTCAACAGCCAAAAATAAAAATTCAATGTTCTTTGCTTATTCGAGATCATCCATCATAATCGTCACCAGCGTATCTCTGCTGTTAAAACAATTTACCATAAAAAGGTTCTTTTCATCCAGCTGGAGTCACGGTCCTGAGCAGTCCTGCTCTCTCTCATATCAGTCCACCTGCAATYTGGCCTTGGTCCGTCGATCTCCTAGTGGGCTCTGCGACAACGCCAAACTGTTATGGCAATATTTATTTAACAAAGCCAGAAATACGTGGTCCAAGAATGAAGGTAGTCGTGGAAATGATCAGCTGGGTTTTATTGCAACCACAGGAAACACAGAGAAGAACCTGCCCTGTCTCTGTGCCTCTGCCTTTCTCTGTCACTGTGTCTCTCCACTGTGTCACTCACTCGAGGGGCCTCATATATATATATATATTAACAAACACCATTATGTCATCTTAGCAAGATTTGATACAAGGTCAAGGGAAAACACAAAGATAAACACAAGTGATATCTCAGAATAATTGTTGTTAGCAAATCTTGTTCTGACTTTAATCATTCTGTCTGCAGATGAACAGCATGTCATGAAAACCTAGGTCATTAAAGGWTGTCATGAATTACTGGCTTAAACCTAAAAGTATTAGTTCCACCACAGTGCCTAAATGCTCTCTGGTTGCTTTAACATCTATGCCTGAAATTTTGCTGTTTAAAAGTTGTCATATTGATCATATTGTGTGGAATTACTGATAAATCAGTAATTAAATGAGGAGAAAGACAAAAAAGTTTGTAATTTTATGATATTGTTTATGATATTGTACATGCATCAGTATGATCAGAAAAACATTTTATTGTCACTGAATTGTAAAACTTAGAGCACTAACAAAAGTTGCTTTTAGATTTCTGTAAAGTTTTATAAAACAAGTGTTTAGATTAAGATGACAAAATCAAAGAAGACATTTCTCCCTTAGGTCAATGGTAAATTTTTAGGACTCCCCAGCTCCAGTTCCAGTTTCACTTCGTTTGAACTGTAATAAAAAATAAAATCAATCAGACTCCCATGTACACCATCTAATCGTATTATCATATTATTTGGCATATGGATTTTGGCCAGTGAAGATTTGCACTTACMGCATTTTTCAGGAGGTTTCCAGATTTAGTGAAGATATTTGGTTTCTTGAAACTGTGTTTGGTTTGCTCAGCATGGCTTGGCTGTGAAGCCTGAGGCTGAGAAGATGGCTTAGGCTCACTGAAGCTGGATGGAAGGGATGCAGCCTGTGACGCTGAATGATGCTGAGATTGTATGAAACTCTGGGGAGGCATAGAATTGTATYACTGAGATGGAATGAAAGATTGAGGTGGAACGTAGGTCTGTGATGGTGTGTAGGTTTGAGATGGAGTATAAGTTTGAGAAGGTGTGTAAGTTTGTGGAGGTGTGTAAGTTTGGGATGAAGTGTAAGTTTGAGAAGGTGTGTAGGTTTGTGAAGGTGTGTAAGTTTGGGATGGAGTGTAAGTTTGAGAAGGTGTGTAGGCTTGTGAAGGTGTGTAAGTTTGACAAGGTGTGTAGGGATTTGTTGGCGTGTAAGACTGGGGCAAAGAGAAAGCTGTTGTGATTTGTGAGAGATTCTGGGAGCTTGTAGATGGCTGTGCCTGTACAAAGGCCTGAGATCCTGGGGTGGAGTTCAACAGAGTAGGTGGTGGTGGCGGAGGAAAGTCATCTTCGGTTTTAGTGCTGGTCCCAGAAACTCCAAGCTCATAGTGTTTTTTCCTCAGCTCACCAAGAAGGATTCGCTGCTGCTCCAGTTGGCTCTCAAGTTGCAATACCTTCACCTAAAATCAAAATGAACAAGACATTTGTCAGACCCAAACTTACTAATCTTTGCTTTAACTTTGTAACCCTGTTTGACATTCAAACARTTCAAACTGGATCCTAATTAATTTTATTAAAGACATACTATAAATGTGGTAATAATAGAAACCAGACTTTATTATAAAAATTTACATTATTACTAGTAGTAGTAGGACTCAATGTTTAAAGGGGCTATATCACGTAAAATCAACTTTTTTGAATTTTATAACATGTTATAATGTCATCCTCTCATCAAAAACAAGCCCATAGTCTTACTTTGACTCATTCATGCATGTTTGAGAAATCCTGTGGTGTCCCGAGGAAGCCAGGCAAGGGAGCAAAAACAACTGGTTAGGTAAAACTGCCTTTTGGGACAAGCTCCTCCTCTGGGCTGTGTCTCCAAGCTGTGTCTTCCTCATCACATAGCACACCTCCCCAACCAATGCACCCCACCCGTGACTCCTGCATGCTCTTGGCAGCAACAAAGCAAACAACTGGTTAAACTGAAAGTGAAACTGAAACTATCTGCTGAGTTCCTAACACTACTTCTCAGTGCAGCCCTTTTCAGATTCAAAATACCTTTGAGGAAATGTAATTTCAGATGCCAAGTAAACTACGCCGAGCTTCCGTATCACAGCAACTAATACTACATTTACACCAAACGTGTTGCGTGCCTCCAAAAGTCTCAAAACACACGCATCTTGATGCTGGTCTCCAGTGAGGACAGACGCATTTGATGTGAACTGAGACGCGCTTCTTTAGATGCGCTGCTCGGCTTCTAGACGCCCATTGATGCACATCCACCGTTGACTTTGCATGTAAACCAGATGCTCCTGATGCTCAAAACATGTTTGGTGTAAATGTAGCATAAGTAAACAAACACCGTTGTCATCTAAAGGTAAGCTGAAGAGCAACTCACGTTGTTTTGTTCAGATCCTTGTTTGGTCTATGTGTTAAGATTTGTAACTTATACTACGATCAGTAGTGTGTGTCTGTGAGGATGACTGAAATAATCTTACCAGCTGAGGCGTTTATGGGATAAATCTTGTGCCAGCAGGAACTGAATTTGAATTGCTCAGACTGAATCTGAATGTGCATAATTTGAAAATGCATAAAAATGCATTGGTTTGAAAATAAATTCCACTAAATTGAAACTGAATTTAATGATATGAAACTGAATTTAATGATTTGAAATTGAATTTAAAGTTTTGAATTTGAATTAATTTGCTTTTAAACTGTACTTTGGTTTCTTAAAAATTCGGTTTGACTACTTTCACTTTCAGTTCCAAAAATCAAATTTTTGTGTCACATCCTGGTCTTTGAGAAAGCCAGCCAGAGTAATTAAACACAGATCCACAGATTTACGTTTGACATTGGTGAAGTTTCCCTTCTGTAATGTAACAGAGTTGATGCAATCCATCATAAAAGTGACAAAAACAGACAGTTATTTTATTGCAGTGATTCATTTTATCTACATGTAGAAAATGTTACATTTACATCCCATCATGGATCAGTCAGCAGCATCTGATCAATGTGTGATCCATGATGTGATGTAAATGTAACATTTTCTACATGTAGGTATTAATCACTGCAACAAACTGTCCATTTTTGTCACTTACGGTGAATTGCATCAACCCTGATACATTACAGAAGGGAAACTTCACCAAAGTGAAACGTACATCTGTCGATCTGTGTTTGATTACTCTGGCTTGGTTTTCTCAAGGACCAAGATGTGACACAAAAATCTGAATTATGGAACTGAAAGTGGAAGRAGTCAAACTGAATTTTTAATAYACCAAAATACAGTTTCAAAGCAAATTAATTCAGATACAAAACTTTAAGTTAAAAAAAGGAAAAAAATTGTGTAGGTCCTCTGGACGGGTTCTTCTCTATTGAAACGTTTCGTCTCTCCTCCAAGAGACTTCTTCAGTCTGAGAGTTTCAGGCAAAATTCAGGCCTTTAAGTCCTGCCTCCATGTGACTGATACTCACATCATATGGCTATCGTTCACACCTAATTAACACTTATTGTTAACAGGGGGTGGCGTGATACTGGCAATAGCCGCACTGTAGGAGGGGGACAGCTGAAAACGGAGGCCTCCACCTCTGTTTAATGARGGACGGTCTTTCTTCTCAAAAATGGCTTCTTTTACTCCTCTCTCAAACCAACGTTCCTCTCTATCAAGAATGAGAACATCCTCATCTCTGAAAGAGTGACCGCTGGCCTGTAAATGAGTGAAAACGTCAATTTTCTGTGCAGTCTCTTGTAGTTCATTTCCTGGGCCAATCAGCAAACAGAAGGAGGAGTTTTTGAATGACATCGATGTTCTGCGTCTGCTAGTTATTTAATCATATGGCAGTGGAGGAAGTGAATGAAGCCAGTGTGTTGATAAGGCTTCCAAATTAAATTAAATCTGTCTGACAA